GATCAGAGTAATCCTGTTAGGAGGGACATCTGATCTGGCTGAATTTTTTCTCCTTGCCTTGACAACAACTGGGGACTACGCCCTTGGAGACAAGCAGAAAAGAACAACAACAAAGGAAAGGAGAAGCCAACCAGGGAAGTTAGAAATTGCTAAGGTCTATACCATGGGCAGCTCCACGGACATGCATGTCTGCTGCTTGTGCCGATGGAGCACACACACACTCACCCGCTGCTTGTGCAAGTGAGGGCACACACTCACCCACCACTTCCACGGCCCAGTTCCGAAAGGCTCAAGGTCTGGTAGGGGACTGGGACCCTGAGGTTGGGGACCTACCAGATCTGGTTACCTAAGGGACTACCTGTCTCCCATAGGATCTGCCTCGCTGGCTGAGGAATTCTGGGAGTGGAAGTCCACAAGTCTTAAAGTTGCCAAGGTTGGAGACCCCTGCTCTAGAGTGAATTTCCCCTCCTGAGATCCTGACAGCCCCCACTCAACTGGCTTGGCCAAGGGAGAGGGACACCCCTTATCACACTTGCCATCTTTTCTCTTTTATGACCCGAATGTAAATTTGATTATTAGGAGCCACCCAGAGATGTTCAGAGCCAGGCAGCATCTGAGTTCGAATAAGTTACCATTGCAATTATACTTACAAAGCCTGACGTTTTGTCCTTGAAATACGGCTTCATAAAATGGCCCAAAAACATATTTGCTGGCAAGGATTTCCCATCGCTCGATTTTATCCCTTTTGTTCCGGCGAGCTCCCAGGTGAGTTTTTCCTGCAGGGCAACCACAAACAGAAAGGCGCCCATGAGGGCCAGAATTCTGGGCGTGCACGAGCCCTGGTCCAACTGCACCCCAGAACTGAGTTGAAAGCATCCCACCATCCAAGGGTGGGCTGGCTATGGGTCCACCCTTGCTAACGTTAGGGCTGGCTTGGTGAACTGCCAGATCCCACCCCAGGCTGGTCCCGCTCACCCTACCCTGCCTCTCCCCTCCCACCTCTCCCCTCCCCTCCCAAGAGTCTCCACATTTCTGGCCTCCGGAGCCCGGGGGGGGACTGTTTTCGCCCTCCCAGAGGCTGGGGAAAATGAAAACGCCCCCCCACACCATGATGGAGGCCGACTAGGCCACGCCCACCCAGCCACCAAGCAGAGAAGTTTTTGAAGCCCACCCCTGCCACCACCATCCTGCCGTTATTCAGACAGTTCGGCTGAGTGATCATCCTTGCAAAATTCTTCTTGCTTTTGGCAGGGCTGGGAAAAAGTGGAGGACTTGCAAGCCAAATGTAAGGTCTCTACCCCTTCCCTCACCAGGACATTCTGAGCTCTTGCAACCAGTCCACATTAATGGTAGTGTAGTAGCTACTGAGATCCTATGGATGGCGCTAGATGCTAGCAGCAAACTGCAGTGTTTAACAACCTTATATAGGGCCTCTTGGCTACTTGCATGATCTCACCTTGGTGAAGGTGGAAAGCCCCGGGCTTTCCAGACATTTAGGTGATCTCATTGACTAACATCACCACTAGTCTTAAGGATTGGTTGGGAGGTTGTACCAATGTGGTTGACAGGTTTCACCCATGTGGGATCTATTCTCCAATCCAAATACTGTACCTATGCTACTCTTCCTTGCTTGTAAAAATGGTATAAAAGAATAAATGCTGCCCAAGCAAGTCAGACATCTTGGCACCCTGCACAATGACTGATCTTTGAAATCTATCCTCGTAGGTTGCAGTGCCTATGCTCAGAGGACAGTGGTGGGATTCCAATTTTTTTTTTACTACCGGTTCTGTGGGCGTGGCTTGGTGGGCGTGGCAGGGAAGGAGACTGCAAAATCTCCAGTCAGAGGTGGGATTGGCCGGTTCTCCAAACTACTCAAAATTTCTGCTACTGGTTCTCCAGAAATGACCAGAACCTGCTGAATACCCACCTCTGTTATAGGACCACAATTTGTGTTTTTGCTGGAAACCAGAGTTTAGAAGAATTTTTTATTGGCCAAGCGTGATTAGACACACAAGGAATTTGTCTCCAGTGCATAAGCTCTCAGGGTACATACAACAGTAGTTATAGATCATTATCATAGTCATTGTAAAAAATACATGTGTCATAAAACATTAAATACAACACTTGGTGATAGTCATGGATAATAAGCAGTCAGCATAAATCATACTAGGATACTAAATAAACGATATAGATGGTAAGATATAAGCAACAAAGTTTTAGTCATAAAAAGATAAGGAGATGAGAATAAGGATGGTAAAACGGCCTTTCTAGAGAGTTTGAAAGTGTTGTGGGAATCTACTTCCAGTTTCCAGCAAAAACTGCCCAATAATATACAATGGGTTCACTTAACAATCAGTGAAAAAAAAAACCGATCATAAAATCAGGCACAGTTACGTGATGACCCACTTTAGGAACAAGATTGTGGGCTCAATTGCGGTCATAAGTCGAGGACTGACTGAAACACAAGGCAAGGCCAGTTGCTGACTTGTTGAGCAACAAATGTGTACAGACAGTTGCTCAGTCCTTAGACCCAGTTACCAGTCAGTCATTAACCGGCCTTTTAAAGGCACTTAATCTTTCTCAAATCTACATTTTGATTAACTTGTGAAATGGGCACACTGTGACAATTCTTCTGGGAAAGCTGAGAGAGTCTCAAAGGAGATGAGGCTTTCCTACTCTGTTCCCAAGATCCCCGCAGCTTAACTCACCTGCTGCTTTTTATTTTGGGCAAGGAGGCTGTTGATCTCCTCAATCTTCTCCTGAATCACTTCCTGATAAACCAGGTTCATCTGGAGGCAGGTTTCTGGGGTTTGGGGTAGGTTGACTTCCTCTTCCTCACCGTCATCTTTCTCCCCACCTTGGTCCACCTCCTGAAACAGAAGAAGGGATTAAAGGAGTTAGAGATGTGGAGACATAAAAAGAATAAATGTTAAAACAGCAATTTGTTAAATAGACAAGCTAAATATTATTATAGTATTGTTATTGTGATGAATACTGTTGCAAATTTTGATCATGATTGCCTAAAAACAATTGTACCCAGACAAGAGAGTTTGATTGAAATGGAATTTTTATATGTTATATGAATAAAATAAATAAAACATAAAAAGAGAAGGGATTAAAGCTAGAAAATTACTGTTCCTGAAAACAAGAAACTCCTCTAAATAAAAAAGTTAAGTTCAAGGGCTGCAGGATGCCAAAAAATTATGTTACTACAGCTTCATTTCTTTTTTCCATCTCCTGTTATTATTTTAATGCTAGGTATTATTTAACCAGGGAGTTTATGAGTTTTGTTACTTAGCTGTGTTGTAAGTATAATTTAAGAGCCAGTTGCATAGTTTTAAAGTCCTGTTATGAATGGAAAGCATGTAAATTGGCTGTATGGAACATTGGCTGTACATTTAAAATCTTGAATAAGAGGCAAAGATGGGTTGCAAAAGGCATCTAAATCAACAAGAAACTCTGCTTTCTCCCAATTTCTAGCCATCACATCGCTTTCTTCAGAAATTAACAGATTAACAGAGTTGGAAGGGACCTTGAAGGTCATGTAGTCCAACCCCTGCCCAAGCAGCAGACCCCACACCATTTCTGACAGAGGGCAGTCCAATCTCTTCTTGAAAGCATCCAGGGATGAAGCTCCCACAACTTCTGAAGGCAACTTCTGTTCCATCAGTTGACTGTTCTCACTGTCAGGAAATTCCTCCTTATCTCCAGGTTGAATCTCTCCTTGTTCAGTTTCCATCCATTATTCCTTGTCTGGCCTTGGAAAATAGCTTGATCCCCTCCTCTCTGAAGCAGCACTCCTATTTTCTCCCTAACAATCCTGCGAGGTAGGCCAGTTCGCCCCGCCTTGTCCAATTAGGCCAGGGGTGCGTGTTGGCCTTGAACATAGAGCCTGCAGACAATTCAGTGCCCTCCCCGTCACGGCACGCAAAGAGACCCAAAGTTTGCCGCAGGAGATTACGTGGACTGCTTTAAAGTTATTCCTGTATTTCTATAAAGATGAACATTAGAAAGGAAAACATGCCCAGAAGTGCAACGCTATTCAAAGGCCCTCCCGACTTCCAAGGCAGAATTCCGACTTGGTTACTTGCCATGTCAAGTTGAGTATCAGATTCATCCTCTTCCAGGCCATCTGAGGAGAGAAGATATAAATGTGAGAGAAAGAAACGTTTTAATTATTTACTAAATTTATGTGCAGCCCATCTGGCAGTTTGAGACAACTTTGGGCGACTTGCAATGTAAAGACCTCAAAAGATAACTTGGAAACAACAAACTACTTAGGACTATGTTGCTGAGACAGCCATGGTGATCAGGAAGCTCATTTCACACATAGTGTACAAGTGATCCTTATTATAACAGTAGTCTAGTTTTTGTAATAATTAACAGTGCTGTGAGTTTCTGCTAATTTCCACCAGGACCCACCACATTTTTCTCTCTTGTGGTGTTTTACAATATCATTCAACCACCGTGGACATCTTGTAAAAGGAGAAGGTGAATCTTTAGCACAACAATGCTGTCCACAGTACTCAAGGCCCAGCTTCTGGTTGTAGTTATTTCTTGACTCTCTTCCCCACCAAAGTGGGGTCCAGCCACAGGAGACTTGTGACGCAGAAAGATCTGAAAAAGGCAAGATGAAGATCTTTCCCACCAGACCGCACCTTCCTCTTCAGAGCCAGATTCCAAGCTAGAGTCTAGCTCTCCAATTCCATCTGACGGAATGACTGGGCCCAAACTCCTCTCCAGTTCTTCAATCTCCTGCCTGATTTTCTCTCGTTCCGCCTCGAGTTCCATTCCTGAGGCTCCTGTAAACAAGAAAGAAAAGTCAAATAATAGAATAGGAATAAATAGAATAAAATAGGAATAGGGAATAGAACACAGAGTACAGAATAAATAGAATGAGAATAGAACAGAACAAAACAGAATTAGAACAGAACAGAATATAGACTAGAATTAGAACAGAATGCAGAATGGAACGGAACGGAATGGAAAGGGACAGATCAGAACAGAACTTTGTCACTTTAAATGTACATTAATTGGCATATATTAAAATGAAATGTTGCACTCCGCTCTCAAAGGATAACTATTATACACATACCCACATATACACAATATATGACACCGAGAAACATCACAGTCTAGTACGTAGGTATACATATACATTGGTGGAAAAAAAAGAATCTTGCGAATTTACAAGACGGATGGCATAAGAAACAAAGCTGTTACAGAATCTAGTAGTCCTGCTACAAATACTTCGAAACCTCCTCCCAGAGGAGCGGAAGAAACAAACTATACAGTTGGTGTGTGGGGTGTCTGACAAGGCTTCCAGGTCTAAGTATGTAGTGCTTATAAGCAGCATCCTGAATAACAGGAAGCGAGCTTCCTATGATCTCCTTGGCTGTCCTCACCACTCTCTGTAGGGACTTTCTATCTGAGGCATTGCAGCCACCGAATCGGACCGGGATGCATTTTGTTAAAATGATCTCAATTATGCCTCTGTAAAAAGTGGCCAGGACAGGAGGAGAAAGATGTGCTGTCATCCTTTGCAGGAAATGCAGATGCTGGTTTGCACACAAGATAACGTCTGAAGACCCGAAGTCAGATTATTAAAAGGGAGCCACACTCATGTCTTTTATGCATTTTATTCATTCAATGTGTCCCTGTCCAAAGGATTCTGGGCGGCTCCTCAGCGTGCTGTATTTTTACGGCCGATTTTACACCCATTTTATTGCCATTCGCAGGTGCTTCTGACACGAATAAGCGCCACACGCAAAACAAAGCGCCCTCCAAACGTGTGGATGGGGAAGGGCCCGTGAGGAGAAAGCCAGGAGGATCAGGGAAGAGGCTTCTCCTTTTAAAGCACCGCACCTGCAAAAGCCACCCGCTCCTTCCGTCCCCGGGTCTGCTGCGTTCACACAACACATTCGCCTGTTCCCGCGTGTGTGAACCCAGCCCATCCCAGCCGGCTGAGTAAAGCACAGCTAATCCAGCCGTGGCTTCCCGCGGGCCTACCTGCCGGACGCCGCTCCCTCGGGCCGAAAGAGGCTGCGGCTGCCCCAACCTGATCGACGACGCGGAGCCCACCTGCTCAAAGCCGCCGCGGCTGGAGAGAGCGCTTAGCAATCCTCCGCCGGAAGCGGGAGTGTGGGGGGGGAAACATGCCGGGTGACGGACCAGGAAGTTACGTCACTCACGAGGGGTTTGTTAATGAAGCCGGAATTACAACTTTTTCCCCGTCTCAGGAAAGAGAAAGCTCCACCTATTTGGGGGGGGCAACGATCGCCTAGGCTCCGCCCTCCTGCCCAAGCGTCGGCCAATGGGCTGTTCGCTTTCTTTTCCGGGCTTTGCCAATCTGCGGCCGCGGATCATCCAATAGCGGCGCACGTCGAGAAGGAGAGAGAGCCGTTGTAGTATGAGCACGTGATGTCTTGGGAGCAGCCAATCAGGAGGAAAAGAAAGGGAAAACGTGGTGCGATAGCCAATGAACGGAGAGGACGCAATGCGCGCGGCGCGGTTTACACTGGGAGCCGCTCAGTCCGCCCCGTCTCCCGCGGCAGACGGTTGGGTTTTTTTGTGTCCTGTGACGGGGAAGCCACCGAAAGCCGCTGTCGTGTGCAGGCTCTACGTTCAAGGCCAACCTTCCTCCATGGCCTCATTGGACGATGCGGAGCGAACCGGCCTACCTCGCAGGGTTGTTAGGGAGAAAATAGGGGCGCTGCTTAAGAGAGGAGGAAGGGGTCAAGCTATTTTCCAAGGCACCCAAAGGCCAGACAAGGAATAAAGAATGGAAACTGACCAAGGAGAGATTCAATCTGGAAATAAGGAGACATTTCCTAGCAGTGAGAACAGCCAGTGGAACAGTTTCTCTTCAGAAGTTGTGGGAGCCTCATCCCTGGTGGCTTTCAAGAAGAGACTGGACTGCCCTCTGTCAGAAATGGTGTAGGGTTTCCTGCTTAGGCAGGGGGTGGACTAGAGACCTACAAGGTCCCTTCCAACTCTGTTAATCTGAATAAAGACAAACGAGTGTCTTAGACTTTCAGAGAGCTGATTACAATCAACTAAGACAGAGTTTAGGGAGATGGAATCCTAAAAGGGAAAACAACTCCAAGAGGCTTGGGAAACTGAAAAATGAGATGGAAGCTGTTTTCACTTTCCTGATCATCCTGCCTCTTCAATCAGCCCCCTATCTAACATGGAGAGATTCAACCTAGAAATAAGGTTGTGCAAGAGCCAGCGAAGAGGAGGAGAGGCAGGGGCGAGGCGAGCGCCACGCCAAGCAGCAACAGAAAAGGCGGGTGCCGTCAGAGCGCTCTTCGTGCCGAGGCAGCCGCAGCCCAAGAGTCCCGCTCCGCCACCTCCTGCTGTTGCCGCCGCCGCTTCTGCCCCCGCCGCCGCTGCTGCTGCTGCACTGAGCCTCCAGGTCCTCGCCTTCCAGTCCTGCCGCATCCAGCCGGGCCATTTGCAGGAGAGGTAGGCACGAGACGGGCGAGCTTTCTCCCCCCCCCCCCCCCCCCAAAAAATTTGGCCGTTACTGTTATTTTATGTGCAGCCCAAACCACATTTTCTTCTTCTAATGTGGCCCAGGGAAGGTGAAAGGTTGGACGCCCCTGGTGTAGAGAATCAAGAGAACCACGAACAAGAAAATGACTTCTCAGCCCAGCATGTGTGAGCTCACCCAGATGACCATTATCTGGGCTTGAAATCCAAATGTTTGCATTAATGGGATTGAGGAAAGCCAAGAAGGGATCCCCTAATGCCACCATGAGTATTAAATAGCAGGTTAAATGGGAGAAATTACACCCATGTGATTTTCTGTAAAAGTGATGCAGTGCCAAGATTTGAGAAACACACTGGGACCATTTAACACAGTTTTCCTTGATGAACTTGGAGCCAATTTTAATAGATGGCTGAATCTAACTTCAAGTTGTTCGTGAGATTTATATCCAGATGTCAAAACACTACACAACTTCACAACAAACTTCAACTGGAGCTGGGTGCATTATAATATTTTAATTAGTATACTTTTAAGAAAATTATTTCTTAAGGACTTAATCCCAAGATTAATATCTCTGGCACTTAGTCGGTGCCAATGAAAGCTGTTTTGTTTCTTAATTCTTTTTTGATCATTTTTTTTCCCTGTGACTTTAGGTAACAACTCTGGATGATCCACACATACACTACGTTCAAAATGCTCCAATCATAGTAAAATAACTTCTATCCTTTAGCACTACTAAACCACTACTATGAACTGGAAAAGAGGTGCATTTTATATATTTATGTATTATATTTATGTGGCTGTCCATCTTACAAAAATGTGACGGCAGTATATAACAGAAAACTAAATATATGAAAGCAGTCCTCATAAAAAAACAAAATATAAAAATATATGTGCACTCGCAATACACAGGCAGCAGTTGGAATGTTCAGTCAAAAAAAAAAGAGGTCACGGTGGTGCTTAATCCTTCCAGAACCAATCCTTAAAGAGGCATTTGCTTATGGACCTGGTTTTCACCATGATTAGAAAAAACCAAAATATACTAGCTGGATACCTGTACTTCGCAATGAAACTTTGTGATCAAGCTATGCAGGAGCTTGGGCTTTCCTTTCCCTTCCTTTCCTCCTGTCCCCCCTTTTCCTTTTCTTCTTCCTTTCCTTACTGTTCCTTTCCTTCCTTCTTTCCTCCGCTCTCCTTCCAGTACTTTCACGTTCCATTCCTGCATCCTTTTAGAGAGTGGTGCAAATGGCTGTGAAGTTACTAAGGTAACAGAATGTGAGGCAACTGGCAGTTGGAACAGATTTCTTTTCAGGTGGGGAGGGGGAGTAGAACTCTTTAGCATCAGAGGATGTTAATAATAGTATACCAAATACGAATGCTCTGATGGTCATTTTGAAAAATTCTTTCTTAGTGAGCCCCTAGAAGCCAAGAGGAACATATGTGCCAAATTTCGAGTTTGTAGGCTTTACAGTTCTGGAGATTTTGTAATGATGCGTGAGGGGTATTTTGCTTTTATATATATATAAGAAGAAGAGGAAAAGCCAAACCAAACTCCATACTTGCAGTTTCATTTTAATTTAAAAAATAATACTATTACAAAACCTGGAGAAATTAAAAAGCTTCAATATATATTATATTCGGAAGGTTAAATCTCGGATACTTCACTGTAAAAGCAATATAAGGTTTTATTGTACCTGTACAACAGCTGGTTTTCAAAAAATGATTTCTATCAAGACAGTTTTAATAGTATCTGTGCTGGAGGACAACTCTGACTGGCAGCCATGTTAAATAAGAAATATATTATTAAAGCAATATTATTAAAGCAATCTCTAATTGAGCAGCCAACCAGTGAAGTGCAAAAATACTTGGATATCTTTGCACCTTATGAAATACTTTCCATTGATCAATCCAGATGTAATAACCAAGAGCTGCAACCTTCTTCACAGTCTCAGAAGTGAAAGATCACAGCACAAAACCATTAAAAAAATCCAATCTTCGTTTTCTCCAAGAACGAGAGGTAATAAGATTCTCAGGGGGTTCCTTGTGATGGCATCTCAGATATTTTGTCTAGAGACTTCAGAAGGTCAGCCACAAGCTGCAGATCTTCTGCACCAGAAATGAGCTGCCTGGGAGAAACACAAGTGCAATGGTGACCACCCACGTTGCTGCCTGCAGAGATTCAGGCAAACCCAACTTGTTCAAGTCTATATTCTCTTACAGCCCGCTCTCTCTGGGATCTACTGTATTCCCTAGCACCTGCAATTCTGGAGTGGAAAACCCAAATAAAACTTTAAATAGGCTAAATTAATTTAAAACTCCATGTTTCCCCCCCCCCCCCCACCAAAAAAAAACCCCTAAGGAAACAAGAAATCCCATCTCTTATCCTCTTTGAGGCCACAACTATACCCTCCCCCCAAATGTGAGCCATTACAACAGGGGTGTCAAACTGGCAGCCCGTGGGCCGGATGTATCATACAGACCATGCCCACCCCAGCTGCGCAAAGGCAAAAAATGTTGCAATGTCACATGACACAATCGAGTTTGACCCCTGCACTACAAGGGTTTTCTGCTCTGACCTTGTTTTCCAGCCATTTTGGATTCTTCCAAGATTAAAGTTTGGGAATTCAAGTGTCTGGTTCAGAATAAAGGTTACCAGTCTGTACACCCCTACATAAATAAATGCACCTGGATGATACTTTAGCAGCTGGGTGGCTGAAGCCAAAATCAATTCAAACTGGAAAACAATGGTTTGTAAAGCCCCCCCAGAGTAAACTTTTATCGTTATAATCAATGTACTTCAGAATTATGCTGGGTAGCTACCACATGGAAGCCAAAGGGAAGAATTTAACACTGCTATATTTAGCAAGTTAGAAGGGTTTTGAAAACACTAAAAATAAAAGCAGTAGGAAGCAACATACCAACACCTGGGAAAGGCCCGTCCATCATACAATTTGTTTAAACTCCAGGACCATTAAAAAAAAAAAACCATTGGAACAGAAAGGTTTATTATTTATTTCTATCCCACCTTAATTATTTTTATAAACAACTCAAGGTGGGGAACGTATCTAATTACTCCTCCTTACATCAACAAACCCTGAGGTGACTAAGGCTGAGAAAGGGACCGGCCCAAGCCCACCCAACTGGCTTTTATAGCTAAAGTGGGATATACTGCAAACCCTCAAACTGGTTAGTTGTATATGCACCACTGAGTTAAGCAAACTGGCTGGTTGAACAAAATTTTGCGTCTGGTGTGAATTCAGTGTTTTCATCTGCTTCATCTACTCAAGACTTACTTTATTGATGACTTAGATCTTGTTATCACAGCCAGGAGATTCTGCAAGGCAACATCTGCGTTTTGCTTGACTGCAGTCAGCTTTTGTAGATGGCCAGACTTTAAGGCTTTGTTCTCGGATTTGTAGCTTTCCATCTGAACCTTCATGTTAAGCAGAGAAGCGCTTATTAGTAGCTGGCTTCCCAAACGTTACTTTTATCAGCCCCTGTGGTTTTCAAAGTGTGACACGAGCTAAGGGTGTGTCTGGCAGAACATTCAAGACCCAGGAAAGACCTCCAAGATTTACTCCCATGTAGGTTTGCATAGGATCAGCTCACTTCACTATATTTTTATTTTAGGAAACCATTTAAAAAAAGCATTTACAGGAAAAAAAAAAGTTGATTTGCAGAGCCTTCTACCTCAATGGTCGTCAACCAGTGGGCCAGGGGACCACTGGTGGCCTGCGAGAAAATTTTGGTGGTCCACAGAGAAATGAAAGCACTCCCCAAAGCAATTAATCCAGGCTGCACGGGAACACAAGGCTGTGCCACCCACATGGTCCATGGGAACACAAGACTTGCATCACTTGCATTGCATACAACACGAGGTAGTGAGGGGAGGGGGAAAAGAGCAGAGGGGGAGAACTTACCTTGCACACCCCACACTCCTCGTCTGGCCACCGGGCTGCCTCTTTCTGCTCCTGCTTTTGGCTGCATGGAAGGAAAGCAGCCAAAGTCTTTCTTTCTCTGCCCCAAACTCCGCCAGAAATGAGTCTTTGGGACCCTGCAAGGCCTCCCGCTCCAAGAGGCTGCGCCGGTGTGACAAGTCTCACAAAGACTCATTTCTGGCGGAGTTTCGAGGAGAGAAAGAAAGACTTCTGCTGCTTCTGCTTTCTTTGCATGAAGTCAAAAGTATCTCTCTTCCCCCAGAGCTGGAGACGGTATCTTGTGATCCCAAATAAAGAATGATCGATTTTCCCAGGATCTCTGGTGTGCGGGATTTAAAATTTTGTGTTTGGTGGTCCCTGAGGTCCAAAAGTTGGCGACCTCTCTTCTACCTCACTGATTTTTCAAATAAGAACTATTTGTCCTTACAAGCCCTGTAGAAAGCAGGTTTTCCCATCAGCACGGAGTCAAAACAGCTTAGAACTCAGACCCACAGCCAACTATAATCACAATTCCAGAAGCTGGTGCAGCTGCTGATTTTAGATCTCTAGCTGGCTTGGGAAGAAACAGGGCAGAAAGGGAGCAGTTAAGAGGCTGTCTGTCCAGCTATGCACCTGAACCTCAAAAGCGTGCACTATTCAAGTGAAGACAATGTGCTTCAGAGACTACACACTGATGGGACTCTGCGCAATTTACAAAATCTACATTTACCAGCTCCAATGCAGGTGGTTCTCAACTTACAACCAGTTTCTTAATGACCGTTCAAATTTATGACGGCCACAGGGGAAAAAAAAAAACCTGGCCATTGTAACAGGTCTGCCCACCCCACCCCCCCCCCCCGTCACTGTAAGTCAGGTGCCTTGCAACCCATCGACTTTACAACCCGTTCCAGTGAACTCCAATTTGTGATGGTTTTTTTGCCACTGTTCCAGCACAAAATGCCATTTGAACAAAGAGATTGACTGAAGGACCACGGTGTTCAATGAAAGGCAGAGTTCACTTAACAACTTCCACAACAACAACAACAAAAGTTAGAAAAACATTTCCAGTCACGTAGGAGGCTTGACTTACGACCAGATCCCGGTTCCAAATTCAGTTGTAAGTCAAGGGCCGTCTCTATTTTAATTCCCCAAGCTCCTTCAGAATTTTTCTATCCGCCCCTTTGGTGTGAGGCCTCACTCTGTACCTGAAGGTGCGTGTTTTCCTGCTTCAACTTAATGACGCTGTTTTCGGCTTTCACGGCCCGTTTCTGTAACAGAAAGCAGAGGAAGGTATATTTGGGGAGCTGAGGGCAAACACAATCCACAGTTCTTAATACCAGGAGAGAAGGACCACCACACAGGTAAATAGGGGCACACAAAGATCATCCCACCACCTATTCCAGAGGTCTCCAAACTTGGCTGGCTGGAGAATTCTGGGAGTTGAAGTCCACACGTCTTAAAGTTGCCAAGTTTGGGGACCCCTGGCCTATTCTGTCAGGAGGATGAGAGAAGCACTCATGCCCCTCAGAGCCCCAGAACGAGACGGGCTCAGCTACCACCTTACCCCGATGCAGAGTCGTTCAGGGGAGAGGGCTGGTTCCCACAGCGCCCCCAGACCTACCGTCATTAACTGCAGATTCTCTTCCACTTGCTGCACCATGGCCTCCAACTCGCGAGCCTCCTTCTCCTCTTTCCGTTTGCTCTTCTCTAAAGTCCTTTCCAGGTGCCTTATTCTGCTTGAGAGAAGGGATGAGTCTACACCTTGAACCCCACCCCCTCAGCTTTAAGTCTCGAGTTCTGCCCGAGATAAGCCAAGGATGACTTTTAAAGCAGGCTTGCTAACCCCCTATGTTAAGTAAAACCTTTTTGCTACCTTGTTGGAACTTGGAAGTTGATGTCCCCCGAACGAGAGGAGGATAATTTATAGCAAGGGTCTTCAAACTTGGCAAGTTTAAGACTTGTGGACTTCAACCCTCAGAGTTCCTGAGCTAACATGACTGGAGGAGGAATTCTGGGAGTTGAAGTCCACAAGTCTTAAAGCTGCCAAGTTTGAAGACCCCTGATTTATATAAACAAATTTTAGTATTACAGCATTGGATTGGGCCATTCAGTCCTACAAGGAATCCAAACGAAGGCACCAAACAATCATTATGCTTCCCTGTTAGTCTTATTAAGAAGAATTAATGATTTGACATTATGGCTTATCTCTGCAGCAGGGCATCCAATGAGGGAGAGCCCAACCCCTCCTTGCTTGAACTGTAGAAACGTTTCAGCCGCAAAGAAGTATTTTTCTAACGTTCGACAAACCTGCTTTTGTGTAACTGTTTTGTAACCTACACTCTGGAAGGACCAGGTCACCTTCATTTTGACAAACCTTCATATTTTTAGAGTGCTATCAGTCCCCTTGTTTTATTTCTCAAGATTAATTGTACTTTCTCTCTTGATTCAGGGGGTTCAAGTCACAGAACTGATCAATTAAAAGATTTGTTTTTCTTTATACGCACCTTTCCGCCTGAGATTCAGCAACAGCTTGAGTTTGGCTTAGTGTTCTTCTTAACTTGGAATTTTCTTCTTTCAGCTACGTAAGAGAGGGAAAGATTCAGACACTGAAGGATTTGGGAATTCTGGGAACTGTTCAAAAAGTGGATGGGCAACAAGGTATGTTCAAGGTATGTTCACCTTTTCGGCTACTTATCATTTCCTGTGTCACAGAACTCTGCTCTTTGGCTGGGATCCACAAAGAGAGTCCTTAGCTAGCCAACCTCAGAAAACCAATGGCCCTCTCACAGAATGGCCATTTTTGCAGCATAGCTTTGAACAAAATACTGGCATGTTGTTTTTACTTTTTTATCAGACAAAACTGATGGGTCTCCAATCCAGAAAATTGGTATTGGTCAGCCAGGGAACCCAGTGGACACTTAGGAGATTTAAGTGTGTTTTCTTTTTGTTTATTTAACTGTTCTATTATTTTACTTGCTTTGTTTACACTCTTTTCCACTTCATTTTTGTTGTAAGCCACTTAGAGTAGCCCCATGGCGAGATAGGAAGCCAATAAATTAAATAAAATTACTTATTCAGACTTGTGTTATGGTTAAAGTACTGGTCTGGGCAGACTTAGGTTCAATTTCAGCTTTAACTCACTGGGTATCTCAGAGGGAATAAAAATGGCCTTGAAGGACAGGGGGAAAGAGCTGCTATCCATGATCAGATAAAAGAAACCCAAGTCTGGGGTAGAACAGTAACTTGAGAAAACACCTCAGACAAGCCCCTCCTTAGTACACAGGAAGATGAAGTGAGGAGGGGAAGCACATTCAGGCCTTCAAAATTCTGTTATTACAGCCATTCTAATAGCAATAGCACTTAAAGACTTATATACCGCTTTATAGTGCTTTACAGTTCTCTCTAAGCAGTTTAGAGTCATCCCATTGCCCCCCAAAATCTGGGTCCTCATTTTACCCACCTGGGAAGGATGAGTCAACCTTCAGCTGGTGAGATTTGATCTGCCAAATTGCAGGCAGCCGGCCGAAGTACCTTGCAGTACTGCGCTCTAACCACCGCGCCACCGAGGCTGTCAGTAATTTTAGGCCTATATGGCATTGACTTCTTAATCTGGCCTGCCCTATAGGGCTGAGGGTATCTTTCTATTAATCACACCCTGATAGCTCAACCTACTTCATCAAATGGTTGCTGTGGAGGTAAAAATGAAGGGGAGAATACTATACATCTTACCTCAGAGGAAGAAAGGTGGGATATACATGCAGCAAAATTACATTTGCTAGGAATTTAGCTTTCTTGTTTTGGGGAAGCCATGAGGGAGAACAGCTTCCCAAGAGAGACATCAACACTCACTTCTTGGTAACGCAGCTGCAACAGTCGGCAGAAACCATCTTCTGGGGACATCTGATCACTAGACGAGCTCTGGTCCCCTTTCCCAAGACGGCTACAGGAGACGTGGTCATTTCTTCCCGGCTGCTCTGGGGAGGAGGTCTGGAGGTCCGAGACATTGCAATAGAAAGAGTCTAAAGGGCTGCTGCTGAGCGAGACGCTGGGGGCTCTGACAAAGTGGGCTTCTTCGACAGCTGAGGGCTGATACGAGCCGCTCCAGTCGTCCTCGTCATCTTGCAGCAAGGAGTCCAAGGCAGTTGGGTCTGCAAAAAATGGCTCTCGCAAATCCTCGTTCAACCCCAGCGACCCGGCCAAGGAGCTCTCATCCAGCAGGAGGCAGGGCCTCAATGGTCCCTGCAAGTGAATCAAAACGTTTGTCAGGGCTCCGGCAGTTACCCCAATTAAATCATGAGTCTCGAGCCAAACTTCCAAAACTTCAAAAGGATTTATTGGGAGTTAAAAGGTCCAGCATTGCCTGGGTGTAGCTGACTCTGAGACACATCATTCCTTGTCACCCTTGGCCCTGCTTTTCCCCCCACCCCCTGGGTGTATCATAATTCATATTCTCCAATGGGACACCTCCATAGCCCAGAGTCAACAATCATACTCTCCAGTTAGAATTTTGCATGGCAGAAACTTCAGTCACCTAGAAACTATCTTTGAAAACATTTATGGAATGCACTTTCAGGTTACAAGCTGCCGTGCTGCTCCCCCCCTCCCTTTCTGTTGGCAACTCTAAAAAGAAATATTTCATGAGTTGACAACGTTTGGGATTTTGACCATCTCACGCCTTTCCCACGCTGAGGCCAAAGGACCTTTCTGCACCAAACTGTCTAGCACAGAGCTGCATGTGGCTTTTTCATCCCTCTGCTGTGGCTCCATCGCTCAAAATAGGTGTCACAACCGCCAATGTGCGACACCCGCCAGAAACGCCATTTATTGAGCTTTTGGACGTCTTACAGCCCCGATGTGGAGGCGCTGTGCGTTGAGGTTTAGGAGAAGGCATTTTCCCCCCCTCTTTTCCTGGCTCCCTCCCAAAAACCCAACCTCCCCCCCCCCGGCTTTCCCCCTCACCTCGGGGCTGCCATTCTTGGAGGGTATGGATGCCTTCTGCTCCTGACTCCTCACGAAGGCCTTAAAGGAAAAGGGGTTGGCTCCTTCCCCGAGGTTGCCAGGCAGCCCACCTGCAACAGGTAAGAAAACAGGTAAGAATAGGACAGGGAGACCCTCTAAATCAGGGGTCTCCAACCTTGGCAGCTTTAAGACTTGTGGACTTTGACTCTAAACCACCCCTCTCCCCACACAAGGCAATTCGGCTTGCCAGTATCAGTCCTTTGCAGTTCCAGAATTTCCAGCTGTTGTGTCCTGAAGTTCAGGTAATAAAAGCAGCATTGAGGGAGGTGGAACAAGCATGTAAGTCAAAATAGGTAAGGAAACAGTAAGAGAATCCATCCTGAATATATACAAAGCACCTGGCTGAGGAATTCTGGGAGTTGAAGTCCACAAGTCATAAAGGGGGCCATAGTTCTCCACCCCTGCCTTAATGGAACTACATGGCGGGGAAGTAGGCAGTGGGGTACCCTAAGCCAAGGGTCTCCAACCTTGGCCACTTTAAGCCTGGAGGACATATATATATATATATGCGAAATACCCCTCACACATCATCACAAAATCTCCAGAACCGTAAAGCCTCCAAACTTGAAATTTGGCACGTACGTTCCTCTTGGCTTCTAGGTGCTCACTAAGAAGGGATTTTTTGAAATCACCATCAGTGCATTACCATTTCCTATATTATTATTATTATTATTATTATTATTAATGTACTCTGATACTAAGGAGTTCTACTCCCCATCCGAAAAGAAATCTCTTCCAAATGCAAAACACAAGCAGAGGAGTTTGAGTTCCGGTTTCAGAGCACCAAGCAGCTTTAGTACAGAACAGTTGAGCTAACCATGCCCAGGCTCCTTGCTGTCTCCTCCTTGCTCACACAGCAAATAATGTTTCAGTTTCCAAACAGCCCTCAACTCTCTCGCACACTGACAGGACGCTAGCCAGATGAATACCAATGGATGCTGGTAGGCAGAGGACAAATTCCTCCCTTTATTTTCCTCCCCCAAATCTAAGCCTGATCACATAGTTTCGTAGCGAAGCACAGGTATCGAGCTAGTAAAAAAATAAAAAATAAAACAGGCACATAGTATCACATGTGGTGGACTTGTGCTTGAAGCCAAAAAAAAAAAAAAAAAAGAGCATAAATACATAAATGGCTAGAAAAGATGATAGGAGAGCATGTAGATTTCAAACCTGAATTACTTTTATTAGGTATAATATCGGGTAAACTTGGTAAGAAAAGCATGCATTTAATCTTGCACGTCTTGACCACAGCGAGGATTGTATTTGTATTTGCACAACGCTGGGAAAAAAAACCAAGAAACACCGTGCGATGAAGAAATAATTAAGAAAAAAAATTAAAAGCGCGCAGAAGTGGGCAGACCTACATTAAGAATTAAACAGAAAGAAGATACAGAATATTATCCAACGTGGAAAACTGTTTTGTCAAAGGTTGGAAGAAAAGGGGGTGGAGTTTAAAAATGTAATCTGTATTGTTAAGCACACTGCACGCTCAAACAATACGATGCTTCTTATGCACTAAGAATGTAATTAAAAAATAAAAATAAAAATGCAAGTAAAAGCACTTTGCACGTGCTCAGAAGTACTTTCTTCCTCGGCTCTGTTGCAGAAAATGGGAATTGCACCCCACGCCCACACGCCCTTCCCTGTTGAAGCCACCCCACCACCACACCCAGCCATCCAGCCACACCCCACCACAGTCCCTACGACCCCTGGGTGGGCAGCATGGGGCCTGGAGTCCTCTCTGAGAGTTGAGAGAGGACGGTTCTCCTCCAGGCCAGCCCCCCCACCCCTCCCAGGAACCATCATCCCCAGCCTGGTCAGGAAAGAGGCACAGCATCCCGAAGGAATTTCACACACACACACACAGGGCAGAAGACACTCTGCACGTGCTCAGAGGCAAGGTATCCAGAAGGCCTTCTTACCGACAAGGCCTGCCCAGGGAGGCTCCCCGCTTTCCCCGAGGACGGCGGCGCCGGGCGGGAGAGCGCTGTGCCCGGCCATGGGCCGCGGGAGACGGCCGAGCGACTCCCCCTTCCTCCTCTTCTGCCGCCAGAGGGGCGGACTTCCGGGAGGGGAGGGGCTCGGCGCCACGCCCCCCGGACCAGAGAGCTACTAAACAGGAAGAAGAGTCGCTCGCGGAGAACCTCGTCTTTCTCGGCACTGCATTTGCGTTTGGGCCCAGGCTTTTCAATCCGTCCACATCCTGAATTTTGAGCCCGTTTATTAAAGTGCTAGTAGTGTCTCGCAGCACGGCGCCATCTGCCAGTTAGATGAGTTCCCCTTCTAACCCCTCGTCTAAATTGTTTACGAAGATAATGGAAGAGTATTGGGCCCAATCAGAACTTTAGGGCAGGGGGCTCCAAACTTGGCCACTTTAAGCCTGGAGGACTTCAACTCCCAGAATTCCCCAGCCAGCTGGGGAATTCTGGGAGTTGAAGTCCTCCAGGCTTAAAGTGGCCAAGGTTGGAGACCCTTGGCTTAGGGTACCCCACTGCCTACTTCCCCGCCATGTAGTTCCATTAAGGCAGGGGTGGAGAACTATGGCCCCCTTTATGACTTGTGGACTTCAACTCCCAGAATTCCTCAGCCGGGTGCTTTGTATATATTCAGGATGGATTCTCTTACTGTTTCCTTACCTATTTTGACTTGCATGCTTGTTCCACCTCCCTCAATGCTGCTTTTATTCCCTGAACTTCAGGACACAACAGCTGGAAATTCTGGAACTGCAATCCTCACACCACCTTCTTTGGCCTAGGTATAAACCTCTGCCTCCTATTACCTTCCATGGCTTCATTTTCATTACTCTCTCTACATCTTCTTTTAATGACCCCAGAATCCCTTGCAGGGTGCAGTCTGGGCAACTGAATGGAGCTGAGTGTTTTACTGGCCAGATGCCCTTCCTATCACCAATATGGAGTTTTTTTTCCAGCAGATAATATTCTCATTGTGCAGAGAGGGGAATATCCGCCTCTACCTAAGATTGAACTCACAGCCTCCTGAATGTGAGGCAAGAGTGCCGCCTTTGGCCACCGCACCACTCTTCCTTACTCGCTGTACCATGTTTCAGAATTCAGTCAGCATACTCTACTACACCCCACATAATAGAATTGGAGATCTCCAATATTGCAGTCCTCACTTCACCTTCTTTGGCTTAGGTACAAACTCCGCATTGGTGACCGGAAGGGCATCCAGCCAGTAAACCCTCAGCTGCATTCAGACTCCACCCCGCAAGGGATTGTGAGGTTGTTAAAAGAGGATGATGATGAAGCGTGCCACCTCCAGGAAGTCCAAGGGGCAATAGAGGTGCTCTCCTTCCTGAATATGATTTCCAGATCCCCAGAGAGAGGATGAGCGAGGAGAGCAGCTGCTTTGGCCCTCAGCTTCCTAGATAGTGGAAGCCATAGAGTACTGTCCCTGAAGCAGCTGCCATTTTGAAATGGCTGCAATCCAATGCAGCTGCTCTCAAAATGGTGCCCATTTTCAGGGCAGCAGCACAAGGCCTCTTTGTATGAGGGCCGTGCAATGCATTTCCTGAAGAGATCTACTCAAAAGACTGCCGATTTGGTCTAGTAGTTAAGGGATCAGGCTGGAAAGCCAGAGATGCTGAATTCTAATACACCTTAGGCACAAAAGCCCACTGACCTTGAGCCATTCACTCTGTCTCAATCCAACTCAGCTCACATGGTTCTTGTGGGGAAACCAGGAAAAAAGAAAGTGAGTTATAGAATCCATATAGCGAATATATTTATTAGAATCCTTCATTTATTTCTACAAATAAGACAGAGAATATATCCAACAAGATAAAGGAGACTATTTGTAGCTCAGGGTTGATCTTCCTTGAATGCATTTGTGTTAATATGAAAGGAAACTGGAATGACATTGCCATAGGTGTATACTCTGCACTACCCAATCAGAGGAACTTTTGCTAAATCATTTAGCGGATGAACAGAACGCATAGTAACGGGTGGACTTTGACTATCCTGACAACTGGGAAAGATCTCATCTCTGCACCTAGTGGGAGAGGTGGAGAGCAAACAGGTTCCTGATGAGTCTTATTCATTCATTCTTCTAACTGCCCATCTTTCTATTGTGGTTAGCCGGCAGCAGGTGCGGACAGTGGAGGAGAGCGAGGACTCGGATGAGGGGACGGGACCATCAGGGAGTAGACTGCTACCTTCAGGGATTGTGGAGGCTGACAGCAGTGACGAGGAGATTCCCGAGGAGCCTGTGCCAAGTGTGCGTGAATGCAGGATGATTCGTAGAAGACAACAGCTGGAGCATCACAGGCGACTCAGGAGTAAGGATGCCCCTCCCTCAAGGGAGGTTTCAAAAGGTTTTTGCTTTTGCAGAAAGCAAAAATGTTCTACGGTCTCAGCATTCTTATTTGAAGAATTCTGTCAAGACTTTTCTGGTTGGACTAATTGGCTGCAAGCCATCTTTTACCCACAAAGAGGTTTATTTGTAGATTAAAGCTACGTTTGAGATTTTCTTGCTGGCAACAGGGTTGGGTCAGAACACTTTCAGTCAACTCACTGCAGCTCCCAAAAAGCCGTTTTAAAAACTATCCAACACATTAAAACATAAAACATTGAAAATAAAAAAACAAAAAAGCCGGGCACTAATCCATGCCAACTTCTCATTCTCTGATCTCCCAGCGCCTGGGGAAAAGCCAGGTGTTTTAAGGCTAAAGGAGTTGAGGCCTTTTTAGAATATGGCTCGCATCTCACAAAGCTTTGCTGGCTTTAGAGAATAGAATGTCTTTTAGCAGTTTCTGCTAGAAGACAAGGGGGACCATTCAGGGAATCCAACTGACAAAGAGTTTCAGATGTCTGGAGATTCATTTGGAAAAACAATACAGATTATATCAAACGATGACAGGGAGAAGCTCTTTTACACCCACAACATGGGTCAAATTAACCTTAGATTCAATCATGGAACACTCGCTTCAATTGGGCACCAAATGGGATGGCCACTTTAATGGGATGACCAATTATTATACTCCATACAGTAGGAAAAAGTACAAGAGTTGATTGCATGGAAGAAATAATCCTGCTCACTTACAGTTACATCAGAGACATGGACAGTAACATCCCATAATATTAAGCATAACCACTGAAATTAGCATTGGATTAAAAGAATGTTCAGATGGGAAATGGCATCATGAATCACGTCTCTTGTGAAAAGGTGCAATTTCAGCCACTTGAAACATCTAGCATGTACGATTGAAAAAGTCCTTTATTATTCAGCTTGAGAAAGTCCCTTATTTGGTAGTTATTATTTACCCTTGTCTTCTTTACTCAACCCTCTTATTGGTATAATTATGAATATCATTATTCTGTTGCTTTGTATATACACTTAGAGCTTATGCATTCGAGACAAATTCCTAGTGTGTCTATTCACTTGGCCAAATTGAATACACAATTTTATTCCTGAGATACACATTGTGACTGAAGGTATCATATCAATTTAGCGTTGATGGAGGCTACTACTCTGAATAAAGCTCTTTCCACACTCCTGGCATTGATGTGGTTTTTCTCCTGAATAGATTCTTTGATGTCAGTCAAGGTGCCCTCTCCGACTGAAGCTCTTTCCACACTGCAGACATTTATGTGGTTTTTCTCCTATGTGAATTCTTTGATGTTCACTGAGGTTTGCACCCTCAGTAAAGCTCTTTTCACACTCAAGACATTTGTAGGGTTTTTCTCCTGTGTGGATTCTTTGCTGGTTATCAAGATTTCTCCTTTGACTGAAGCTCTTTCCACACTCCAGGCATATACATGGTTTGTGGATTCTTAGATGTTTTTCAAGGATTTGAATTGTTTTGAAGGATTTTTCACACTCCCTGCATTCGTACAGTTTTTGTAAATGGAGTCTTTGATGTCTATGAAGGTTTCCCCTCAGACTGAAGCTCTTTCCACATTCCAGACATTTATATGGTTTCCTTCCCGAGTAGATGCTTAGTTTTCAAAATATCCATTTTTTTAGGGATTTTTCACATTCCCCGCATTGGTAGGGTTTTTGTAAATGGAGTCTTTGATGTCTAATAAAGGCTGCTCTTCTGACCGAAGCACTTTCCACCCTCCAGGCATTTATTACATTTTTTCTCCTGAGTGGATCTTTAGATATCTACTAAAGCTGCTCCTATAATTGAAACTCATTCCACACTCCTAGCATTTAAATTGTTTCTCTCCTAAGTGGATCTTTAGATGGTTTTCCAGATTTCCATTATTTTTTACTTTCTGGTCAGTTGTATTCCTTTTCTCTCGAGTGGATCCATAGATGTCTTTGAAGTTCTCTATCTCTTTTAAAGGATTTTTCACATTCCGGGCATTGATATTTCTTTTCTCCCACATGGATCCTTTGGGGATTCCAATGTCTTCCGAAGGACCTTCCTCCCTCCAGGCATTTATTCCGAGTGGATTCTTTGATGTCTATAAAGGCTGCAGCTATGACTGAAGCTCTTTCCACACTCCAGGCACTTATAAGGTTTCTCTCCTGAGTGGATCCTTTGATGTCTATAAAGATGTCCCCTTTGATGGAAGCTCTTTCCACACTCCAGGCATTTATGAGGTTTTTCTCCCGAGTGGATCCTTCGATGTCTATAAAGGGTGCTGCTATCTCCAAAGTTCTTTCCACACTCCAGGCATTTATGAGGTTTTTCTCCTGTGTGGATTCTTTGATGTGTATAAAGGTTGCCCGTCTGAGTGAAGCTCTTTCCACACTCAAAGCATTTATAAGGTTTTTCTCCTCTGTGGATTCTTTGATGTTTATCATGGGTGCTCCTGTCACGGAAGTTCTTTCCACACTCAAAGCATTTATAAGGTTTCTCTCCTGAGTGGATCCTTAAATGCCTTTGAAGTTCTCTATTTCTTTTGAATGATTTTTCACATTCCGGGCATTGATATTTCTTTTCTCCCTCATGGATCCTTTGGGGAATCCTGGGTCGTCCAAAGGACTCTCCACCCTCCAGGCATTTATTCGGTTTCTCTCTCCAGTGGATCATTTGATGTACATGAAGGTGACTCCTCTGACTGAAGCTCTTTCCACATTCCAGGCATGTATATGGTTTCTCTCCTGAGTGAGTTCTTAGATGCCTTTGAAGATGGTCGTTTCTTTTGAAGGATTTTTCGCATTCCGGGCATTTGTGAATCCTCTCTCTCTTCTGGATTCGTTGGGGATTCCAGAGTCTTCCGAAGGACTCTCCACCCTCCAAGCATTGATTTGGTTTCTCTCCAGAGTGGATCCTTTGATGTTTATAAAGGTATTGCTTCAAACTGAATCTCTTTCCACACTCCTGGCACTTGTACGGTTTCTCTCCCGAATGCATCCATTGATGTCGATAAAGGTTTCCCAACTGACTGAAGCTCTTTCCACATTCTAGGCATTTATGAGGTTTCTCTCCCGAGTGGATCCCTTCGTGTCTATAAAGGCTGCTGGTCTGACTGAAGCTCTTTCCACACTCCAGGCATTTGTGAGGTTTTTCTCCTGTGTGGATCCTTTGATGTATATAAAGGTTGCCTGTCTGAGGGAAGCACTTTCCACACTCCAGGCACTTATGAGGCTTCTCTCCGGAGTGGATCCTTAGATGCCTTTGAAGATGGTCGTTTCTTCTGAAGGATTTTTCACATTCCGGGCATTCGTATTTCTTCTCTGCTGTGTGGATGCTTAGATGGCTTTTAAGATGTGAATTTGTTTTGAAGGATTTTTCACATTCCGGGCACTGATATCTCTTTCGTCCCTCCTGGATCCTCTGGGGATTCCCGGGTCTTTCGAAGGACTCTCCGCCCTCCAGGACCGTCTCGGGGTCTCCGCCCGTTTCCTTCTTCCCGCATCGCCCTCCGGGCAGCCGCCTTTCCCGGGGTCTCCCTGGGCTCATCCCTCCTGCAGCCCCGGGGCTTCCCGGCCTTTCTCCGCCGTCCCCCGGGCAAGCCGCGCCGGGCAGGGCTGCTCCGCGGGGCCGCTCTCCTCCTCCTCCTCTCTACTTCCTTCCCCCGCCGAGCTCCTCTGTCCTCCTGCGGGGGAGAAAGAGAAAACAGTCACTGCTGCGTCCCCTTCCCCGCAGGGGAGGCCCAGGCCGAAGCCTCCGCCTCTCACGGGCCTCCCTCCCAGCGTCCCCATGACAGACTAGGCCTCGGACGCCGCCCATTCCCTCCCTCCTTTCTCCGGAGGGACCCTCCAGGACTGCGACTCCCGGCGTTCCACGCGCCCCACCTGCATCCGGCCGCATGCGCACACGAATCGAAAAAAAAGTCCTTCCGTCGCCTCTCCGATTCCGAAAGTAAGGGCCAGACCGGCCTCCGTCCCCTTTCGGTCAAGCTCCGCCTCTTCCGCTGCTGGCGCTGAGCCACCTCTCATGTTGCTCTGCTCTCTTAGTCCGATTGCGGAAGTCGGGAAGAAAGAACTTCCCCCCCCCACTGCATCGGGCAGCTTCTACGCCATCCCATTGGCGGGCGGGTCCTCGTGGTCCCGCCCCTACCTCCTGGCTTTCCTCCCGTCTGGGTTCCTCCCCTCGCTTGGCTCCTCCCCTGCACCGCTGACTCCGCCCTCCGCCCCCTCCCCTCTGCCCGGCTTGGCGGCATTGGGGTGTGGGGGGGGAATGGGGGATTCCCAAAGGGGCTGCAATGGAGGGGAATGGACGGAGGTTTCCCTCGCGGGCCTCGGCTTTCGTGTGCCGGAGCCCCCCTCTCTGCCTCCCCGGAGCTGCTCCCTCCCCCGCCCCAGGAGCCCGCAGCCGCGTGGGCATCTCCGGGTGGCCCCCTTTCCCCCTGGGGAGAAGAGGGCGGGTTGCAGCTGAGTCTTCCCCGCGGGGCTTTCTCTCCTGGAAGGAAGGGCGAGGTCCCACCTGTTCTTGCCAGCCTCAAAGAAGCCGCGAATATAGAGCGATCCTTCCGTGTATGAGAAGAAGTTAACCGCACCAAACTTGATTGCAGGAAATACGACTTCAGCAATAGAGTGGTCAATGTCTGGAATACTCTACCCGACTCTGTAGTTTCTTCCCCAAACCCCAAAAACTTTAACCTTAGACTGTCTACTATTGACCTCACCCCTTTCCTAAGAGGCCTGTAGGGGGCGTGCATAAGCGCACCAACGTGCCTACCGTCCCTGTCCTATTGTTTCTCTTATTCTTCTTTTATTTTTCTTATATGCACCCATTTCATGTATTCACAACTATGTATACACTTATACTTATTATCTTGTAAACAATTGGCAAATCAAATAAATAAATAAATAAGAAATATGATTGCAATTTCTCAAGGCCTCCTGATCCCCGGAGACTCCTGGCCGTTTGCAAATGCTAAAACCCGCTTGCGTTGTTGTGGGGCCCCTGCATCGGGGGTGGGTGGGTGACGGGAGAAATCCTTTTTCTTCTTCTTTCATTTCATGGTTTAGGAACTTCTGGGTAGTTTCTCTCCTTGCCCGATTCTCCTTTTGTGGGATACTTTTCGGGGCATCTCCAGGTGGCCCCCTATCCTCCTGGGGGAAGGGGCGGGTTGCACCTTCCTGGCTTCCCATTCTGGACCTCTGACTCGCAATTGTTTCCTGAACCCTCGGACTTCCAAATGAAAAAAATCACTCAAGCTTCAGTTTGCTTCCCCGCCCCCCTAAGAATGCATCTTTGGCCCACTTTGCTGATTTCATCCCTCATTCATTATTCCTAAATTGCTTTGCAAATCCTCATTTTCCAATCTTGTTTTCTGAAAATTGCAACAATCGGGTAGGACAGGGAAGACACAACAATGAGCAGGGAACTGTTTTCAGCTACAGGAGATGCTCCCTGCTACTTCTGATTGAAGAGTTCCCATCCACTGGGAATTTTCAGGGTCACAAATTTTGCTTTTAACGCAGCCCCTTTAAATGTAGGGCAGAGGGAATAAAATGTGGGGAGATCCCTCTTGTTCCACACTGCCTTCTCCCCTTGGATTGCATTATGTGAAGAACCTCGATTTTCTAAAGCTACTTTAAACAACCTGAGGGTTAGGAGGGTCTGATGGAAAGAAGAAAGCAAGAGCAGTTTTTCAGGTTCTTTGCCTGGGTCAGAAGACAAAGCCAAGACGGACCGTCTTCTGCTCTCTGGGATTAGTGCAAGCTGCATATGAGGAGCAGCCCTGAAGCCATGGGGCTGTGGTGAGACCCCAAGCAGAGTGGGTGGAAGGTTGGTACTTCTGGGACTGAAAGACGGAGCCAACACTGGACCTGTTGTTCAAAAGCTGTGGAGGAAGAGATGCTGTCGGCCGTGGGAGCCAGAGCAGAGGGGGGCAGAACTGGGGGGAAATGGCTTGGCAAAGGATTTTGATGTTGGTGCCTGGAAAAGGCTGCCAGAGTGACGTCTCTATGGAGAGGTAATGGCAGCCTTGGAACCCATCTCAAACAGTCTCTCAGAAACCACTACTATTTAATCTTGCCCCTGCATTGTGGAAGGCGTCAATCTCAAATAATAATAATAATAATAATAATAATAATAATAATAATAATAATAATAATAATAATAATAATATATTATTATTATTATTATTATTATTATTATTATTATTATTATTATTATTA